CGCGGCGCTGTTGTCATTGGCTAGCCCTTGGGCGTTGGCGAGAGGCATCGGTGGGGCGACAGAGGCACATGCGTGCTTGTCACTTGGCGCAGCCAAGACCATGGGGCCGACCATGGCGCTAGGCATTGTGAGGCTTGCTAGGCCGCCATGGGGCGCGGCCAAGGGGTCATGGGGCATGTCTGGAAAGCAGCCCATGACATTCTCCCCCACCTGAGTTGGTGTCGTCCTCGGAGCCTGATGATGATGATGATGATGATGATGGTTGTTGGATGGGAGGTATGCGCCCCTCTGTTCTTTGAGCTTGCTGTTGTAGCGAAGCAATGATTGCATGCGGCTGACATGGAAGACTGGATGGATCTTCCACCAGGATGGAGTTTTGATCTGGTATGTGGACTCCCCAATGCGTTTTTCAATGGACAGGGGCCCGATGTATTTTTGTTGCAGCCGAGGGTCATGGGTCCTTTCTGCAAACAAGTACCGCTTTGGGATGCGTAGCATTACTTTGTCCCCTGGTTGATGCTGGGAAAAGCAACGCTTTTGTTCGGTGAACCTTTTTGCCCGCTCTTGGGCCCTGATGAGATAGCTCCGCACTATCTCCATGTTGCACTCCCATTCGTTCGAGAAGTTGGCAGCTCGAGGAGATTTCAGCATGGTTGATGCATTCACCGTTTGCGGGAGAAGCGGTTGCTGTCCGGTAACAATTTCAANGCACTTGCCCCAAGTATTACTATTACTTTTACCATAAAGGCTTTTTTGTTAGTTTTCTGGAAAATTAAATATTTTCCACAAGTCCCTATGACCCTATTTCTATGGAACAAGTTGGTCTGCTTATGGTATTATCGTTTTAGGCACAAAAAAAAATGCTCTAATTATGGTAATTTTATTTCTCAAATATTTTCTACAGGAGAAAAAAAAAGGATTTTGTTTCTTTCTATCATAAAATGGAGCTCTCTTTTACATTCACAGTAGTAGAATAGAAGAGATTCAATTGGTGTGATATATTACTGGATATATTGTTGTTGTTGTTATCGTCGTCGTCTAAAATACTTCTCCATACACATGAAATTACTTTAATGTCTAAAAAACAATTCAATTTTTTTCCGGCTAGCAAAATTAACCTTGATTATATACTATATAAAAGTGAACAACTCAAATTTGAAATTCATGAATATAATGCACTTGCTTGGTTTCACAAAGAAATTTCTTTCTTTTCCTCAACAACAACCAAAAAAAAAGGAGAAAAGAAAATCTGAAGTTTACAGTCGATACGTATACAAACTTTCCATAACGGTAATTATACACAAAAAAAAAAAAAAAAAGCAAAACAGGTAATAGTAAAAGATTAATATAAGACATAAGGAGTATAAAAAGTGAAAATATTAAAAAGAAAAATGAAAATTAGAAAACTAAGAAATTAGGAAAGCCTCAGACGTGTTCAGTCAGCAGGAATCGTCCCATTTCTAGTACTACTACACTAAAAATGAAGCGGTCGCCGGCGATCTTGAAAAACCGGCGAGGAGGTGGTTTAGGATTTGCTGCAATAGCTTACATCGGAGTAGACTATCTTCGGTTCATATCGCCGGCATGGCATGCCCGGTTACAGCCAGCACTGTGGTCTGTATTAGCAGTCGCAGCTATTATTCGGGTCCCATTTTACAAACATTGGTCATCGGAGCTCCGTTCAGCTATTCCCTTTATCTGTGCAATGCTTTTCTTGCTCTCTGCTCTTCTCTTTGAAGCTATTTCTGTTCGCTCTGTCACTGCCGTTCTTGGTCTTGATTGGCACAAGTATGTATAAAATTTTATATTACCATAAATAGTTTCATTTCTATATTTGGAAGTTTGGTAAATTTGTGTCTTTGGGGTAAATGGGGTTCAGATTTGATGGGAAAACTGAGTTGGGGTTGAGTGCTTTTTTGAGCTTGTTTAACAGTTGCTTTTGTTCGTGAAAAGAAAAGGGTAAGTTTAGTTTTCATTGTGAAAAATGGAAATGGTGGTTTCTTGTTTCCATTCTAAAAGATGTGATCTGATTTGGGTTTTTTGTTGGATTGCTCTATAGATTTGTTTTTTAACTTTTCATTTAAGATTACAAATATCTATAAAAGGAAACGAGGAACTTTATTAATCTGGTAGGGAAAAACAAGATTGGATTTCTGTACTGGGGCTAAGCTTCACCTAGCTGATAGTTTAATAAAGTCAATCCTCATCATACTTACCAGAAAGGAAAAAAAAAGGATAGGTTAATTTCATCCTACTTTCCTAATCTGGAGACAGAAATAAGCTAGTATTTGATTGTGCAGAACTGCAGATCACTAAAGAGTGGTGCATTCCTATTCACGTATAGCAGTCCTTTGATCGTAAGATTTCAATAGTAAGGAAATTCTCAAGTAGATTAGTTTGGTGCATTCCTATTCACGTATAGCAGTCCTTTGATCGTAAGATTTCAATAGTAAGGAAATTCTCAAGTAGATTAGTTTGGTGCATTCCTATTCACGTATAGCAGTCCTTTGATCGTAAGATTTCAATAGTAAGGAAATTCTCAAGTAGATTAGTTTGTTGTCATATTATGTATTGTGCCTATGAATAATGGTATTTTGCATATAGTTCTTTCTAAATCATGTGGAAAATCATTTACGTGGTCATCATTAACTAAATCCTCACATTCTAATGCCAGGTGATCTAAAAAACTCAAGAATCATGGCAATATTGCTAGTCAGATACATTTATCGAAATGGAAAACCATGTGTAGTTTGAATTTGTACGATATGAACCAGATCATTAGAATTTGGGAGCAGAGGACTTTTCTGAATAATACAAGTAGAGGAGAGGGAGCTTGGAAACTAAGAGAGGAAGTGGAGAAAAATTGGGCTAGGATAAACACATTACCAACTTGGGGGTGGGGAACTTCTCTGCGGAACGGAGAGCTGAATCATATATACACATTCAGTAACTTAAAAAGCCTTTTTTTTTACACATTCAGTAACAGGGGTATTCTTGTCGGAGGTTTACCAGTTTAGTGTGTTATTAGTTGTCTGTATCGGATAATAATGGAAAGTGATTTTGTATTTAGGTGTAATTTATGCCTGTGCAGCCCTAGCTTGATGCATTTTAAGAATAAAACCTCTTAATTACCTATTCGAAAAATCGGCCGAAATAGAGCTAAATGGTCACAGAGTAGTTGTAATTACTGAGCTGACTTCAACTAGTTTGGATCGAGACATCGTTGATTGATTGACTTTGTTAAAAAAAATAATGATCTTTTTGAATTTTTTAAAGCTTTTGTAATGAGGCATTCTCAAGCAAAGTAAAAAGAGATAGCTACCAATGTCATATTTGTATGTCCTTATCAAGAAAAGGTCATATTTTTGTATGCTGAATATCACTAGTTCAACCAATCATGCTTTATATGAAATCTTGACTGAACCTGTGCTGATTCACTAATGCCATCTAGTTGTGTGAGGATACATTATCTAGATTCTAGTGAGATACCACATGGTTTCTTAATAGCAGAACATTGTGAAGATGCTATATCTTTAGCTCTAGAATAATGACTAAGGCGAGGAACGTCAAGGAAACTCTGGCTTGCATCAGTACCAAAAAAAAAAAATTTGCCTCTGGTGTCACCACATTATTGGAAAAGTTTGACATTAATTTTCTGGAACAGTTGACATTCATTTTCTTATCTATTTTTGTTTTTCTGAAAGATTTGTCATTTATTGAGGCGCAATCTGATATAATTAATGTGAAATAGTGAAATCCTGAAAATTTGGTTAAATTACTTATTTCAACAAGTCTTACGGATAGAACGATAAAAATGCCCTGAAGTGGTCATGTAAGAACCTTTCTCGAGCTATACTCATGACATGTCACTTCACTCGAAGATGAGAGGGCATGCGTGTTTGGTCTCAGATTCTACGATATTTGGCTTGAGGCTGGAAAAGGAAAATAACAATTACTCCATATCTTTGCTTCATTATTTTTGATTCTCTTTCCTAAATGACCATCTATTGCCATTACAAAGTTCTCTTTCCTTGACAGGGATACACCACCTCTTCCTGATGTTGGTCAGTGGCTCCTGCTATCCTTGAATGAGAAACTACCCCAAATGGTTGTAAATATATTGAGAGCTCGGATAATTGGATTACATCATTTTCTGATGCTGTTTATCATGCTTGCTTTCTCTGTGCTCTTTGAATCGGTTGAAGCTCCTGGTCTTGGGATTGGCGCAAGATTCATGTTCACGATGGGAATTGGAAGACTCCTTCGGGCCATAACTTTTATCTCCACAATTCTACCATCTGCTCGACCATGGTGTGCATCTGCTAGATTCCTTGTTCCTCAGCACCCGCATCCTTGGGTTCAGAAATATTACGTACCATATGCCACCGATTCAAATGCAATACGGAACATCATTAACTGGGATGCAGCATATGGTATTTCTCCCTTCCAATCCTCCCTTCTGTCCCGAGATTACTTACTGAGTTCTTCTTTACCAACAGTCAGTCAGATTGGTCCAAAGTTGAAAAGCTCAATACATCAGTTGGTTGAATTCTAGTGCATAGTCTGTTGTTGATATTTCATTTCTATATTCACTTTTGTTTTCAGCTGATCCTGGGGAATACGATGCTGAGTTTCGACCAAATTGGGGTCCAATGAGCTTTTTGATTGATTTCCTTCGGCCTACAGCTCCTGAGGGATCATCTGCTTGGTATCATCTGTTAAAGAAAGCGTCAGGAGGTTGCAATGACCTTATATATAGCGGCCACATGCTTGTTGCTGTGCTGACAGCTATGGCATGGACGGTATATGTGCCCTCTATCATTCCCTAAATTTGAAGGCTTAATTCCTGTGACCAACTAATCTCATCTGGCTTAAAACTTTATGAACAAATTCAGGAAGCCTATGGTGGCTATAGCTCAGCACTCATCTGGATTTTTGTGCTGCATAGTGCTCAAAGAGAAATACGGGAACGCCATCATTACAGCGTAGACGTTTTTGTGGCCATCTATGTGGGCATAATGCTTTGGAAGATGACGGGTCTTTTCTGGCCAATGAAGGATGAATCAAAGGGTAGGAGGCTACGTAAGCTCGAGAAGATTCAGGGTAGGCTAATGCGAGCTGCCAAGGACGATGATATAGAGGAAATAAGAGAACTCCTTAAGGAAGTGGAAGTGAGCAACCAAGTTAGGGAAAACACCAGAAGCAAAGCAATGTGGCTCTTTGCTGGTGGAACCATTATTTTTACTCTTACTATCGTTCTTCTTGCCTTCACATTGACCAGCGACGGGTAAGACAACCAACGAAATGTTCTACCACGGTAAGATGTTTAGAAGGCACAGAATTTGTAGCAGTAGGCCAGAATAGGCATTCCACTGCAGATGATGTTGTTTGTTTGTTTGTAATGCTTTGGCTTTAAATTATTTTTTGTTTTTAATTTTTTCTTTCCTGGTGGGTGGTGGGGTATTATGAGAGATGGTATCTGCTCACTTATTGCCAGATATGAAGAAGAGAAATTGACTTTGTATTGGATACCTCCTTTTGTGTTTAAGCTGCAAGTGATTTTTGATTATCAACTGCGTCTAAATGTTTTCTATAGGATGATTTTGATCCCTGTTATATAGCAAAACTTCTCTTTTTTGGTCATTTAGTTTTTGATTGACTGGTTTTGACCCATGTTTGGTTCCTGCAGGGATGGAAGGGTGGTGGAGAGGGCGAAGTGAGAAATTACGGGCTGGTGGTCCGGCCCTTCTCCGAACCCGCGCATAGTGTGTAAACAAAATTAACCCCCAAGTAAAATCTTGTGCAAGTAATACCATATTTGGTTGGTTGAAAAAACAATTTAAATCCCCACATAATTAAATACATAAAAATTAAACTAATGCAATGGTTAATTACCAAATATTAAATTCTGCATGAGTAATGTTAGACGAGTAGCTCGGTGGTGACATCTAGGGCTCTAACAATTCCGTGGACCAATTAAGCAGTCAAGGAAAATGCATACATGTAGGGGTTTTTTGCAATGAATAATGTGTAATTAGAGGATGTCTTTTTTAGGCCTAAGATCACAGTCATTGCCTGCTCCTTTGGTGTATGTTTCCAATTGTTGTTATCAATGGTAATTCACACCAAAACATAAATATCTACTAGAACAAATTACAAATTTGCAACTGCTATCGGCAACTCAAAGTAAGATGGATAGTTTTGAAACTAAATCTTGACGGGCACTATGCTTTAAGTTTGCTGTCCACTTTACTTTATGTTAAACATCTTATAATATGGCTGTTTATGTTCCCCTTATTTATGTGAAAGTGATGATAAGAAAAATAGTCTTGTAGCTGACTTGAAAAAAGATACTTATATTCCTGGTTTAATCAATCTATTGAATTGATTTCTATATGCATAGAGAGTGAAAATTTATTTCTACACTAGCTTAATTTATAAAAGGATTATTTTGTCAATTCGTTAATTTACTCATAACCGTGCAAAGCGCAAATAAACTTTCTAGTTATTACAAAATAAATAAGAAAAAAACTACAAAGCTACTTTTCTAAAGCTTGTCGCTATGTTCTTGTTAATCTTTTTAGCTTTTTAATTTGTTCATATTTAGTCATCTTTTTATGTGTATAAAATTTTCTCAAGAAGGTGAATGGAAGCCGGTTTAGGATGCAATGAAGCATGAAACTATACTTCTGCTACAAAAAAGTTATAAAATTAAAGCATGAAGGGAAATTTATGCGCTGGTAGATTAAATTACAACTTTGTTAAAGAAAACCTGAGAGAAGTGAGGTTTGGATATGGGTGTCTAACGGGCCGGGTCAGCCCGGTTTCGAGCCGGCCCAAACCGGTTAAAACCGGAACCGGTACAAGGGGGCCGGGTGGGGCTGGGTTAAAGGGGTAGGGGGGTTGGTTCATCTTAATTCCTACCGGTTAACCGGACCGGTCAAACCCGGTCAACAGTTTTTACTATTCAACCGATTAACCGGTCCAGCCCGGACCGATCCAGACCGGTATAATGGTAACTAATTTTTTGTTTTTTTACTAGTGGGCATAACATCTGACCGTTAGCTCCGGTCCTTTTCCCATTATGGCCGTTGCCCAATGGCAGAATTTCAAAAATAGCCCATTTTTGGGTTTTTTTAAAAAAAGAAAAATTAACACCCCTTTGATAAACTATAAATACACCCTCCCCTCCCCCCTCTTCTTCATTTCTTCACTCATCTCTCATTTCTCAATCTTAATTCTCATATTCTCTCATTCTTCAATCTTCACCTAAAGTGCAATTAACTATTTGACTCTTTTTTTTTTTTTTTGGAATTTAATTTATCGTAGTATTTATTATTTGAAGTTTGAACAATTAAACTTCAAAATTGGAACAATTGATGTTTCTTCGTGGTAACATTGGAGTTGCGAAATTATCAAGTACTCAATTTATTGCCGAATTCGGTGCACTCCCTCCAACTCTTTCTCTTTTTTACTATTTTATTTGCATATTTAATTGTTGCTAGTAGTTAAATTTTACAATATGTTTAATGCTGCAAAAAGAGTTTGTAATAAGGTTACTAATCGGGAAAATAAAAAAAGAGGTAGTACTTCAGCATCTGGTAGTAATTTAAATGACTCTACAAATATTTCTGAAACATTACGTGATAATAATATATATTATGAACAATTCCAGGAAGATTTCGGTATAGAAGATAACGAATTAGAAATGGAAGATGAGATACCACTTACACCTAGTAGTGTTGGAGCTGGTAGCAAGGGTGGTGGTCGTGGTGCTAGTAGTAGACCACCTGTGGCCCCGACTAGTAATCGGAGAAAAATAAGTAAGGTTTGGAAATTTTTTGACGAAATAGAAGGTACTGATAGAGTTAAATGCAAACTTTGTAATGATACTTTTAAACATAAGACTGGAGGACAATTAGGGGGGACTGTGACACTTAGTAGACATATGAGAATTGAGCATCCTATAGAATGGGGCTCTGATGGAGATGAAAATCAAACAACTATAAGCCTTACTACTGGAGGTCTTATGAAATATGATAAAATGAAGGATCGTGAGGAGTTAGCAAAAATGATTAATTTGGGTTGTCTACCTTTTTTTTTGCTTCTTCATCATATCTTATTATGTATATTCAAAGGATTTACAATCCTTTATTTAAAGGTATCCCTAGAAGTACTTGTAGATCTGATATCATTAGACTTCATGGACAATATCAAACATACATACGTTATTTGTTTAGCCACCTTCCTTGTAGAGTTTCTCTAACTTCTGATATTGGTCATGCTGTTAATGGAAATGATTATTTGACAATTACATGTCATTGGGTAGATGATAATTATTGTATGCAAAAACGTATTATCGCTTTTATATATGATGAAGATCAAAGTCATACTCCTGCATTTATAAGTACTACTATTTATGAAGTTGTTGAATTTTATAATCTCAAGTAAAAAGTATTGTGTATGTCTTTTGATAATGCTTCTAACAATAATGCCGCAATTTCAATATTAAAACTGCAATTGCAACCACCACTTGATGAAATTTTTCATGTTAGGTGTGCATGTCATGTTTATAACTTAATTGTTAAAAGTGGCCTTGATTTATTTTCATCTGAGATTACTCATGTTAGAAGAGCAGTTTGTGTTATTCAAGGAAATAATAGACAATCTAGAATAAAAGAATTTAAGAATAAGTGTATCCAGTATAACCTTAAACCCAGATTCATGCCAGACGAAATTGTTACTAGTTGGAATTATACATATATATTTTTAAAAAGTTGCTACAAATATAGATTCCCAATAACTGAAGTAGCTAATGCGCATTATATTGATCAAAACTGTATGTTAACAACTATTACTTGGGAGGTCATTAATGATGTTAAATTCTTACATAAATTTTATACATCTACTGTTGAGTTTTCTGGAGCATATTACCCTACTGTTACTATGACTTTAGTACATATAGCTAAAATTTCTTTTCTACTCTTTGAATTTAAGAAGAAAGAAAAATATAGGGATGTTGTTGAAAAAATGCAAGCAAAATTCAAAAAATATTTCTTTCCAATTCCCCCGATTTACTTAATTGGTGCTGTTTTAAATCCTTCTATTAAGATGTCTGATTGTCACCAATTAATGAATGCTTTATATACTTATATGGAGATTGGACCAACTGAAACCCCAGATTTATATGCTTGTATGAACAAGCTAAATGATTCTTTACAACAATTATATAATTATTATGCAAATGTAATTGATGTTGCTGCTCTTAATGTATGCAATGTTAATCCCACTATGCATTGTACCACTTCTACTACTGTAGATGATGATGAAGGCCTTGATAGTTTTAATATTTTTTCTACATTTTCTAACACCCAAACCAGTAGTAGGAACATTGATGAACTTCAATTCTACTTGTAAAAACAAAAAGAGTTTCGCACAAAGGAATTTTCACCGTTGGGATGGTGGCATGAGAATGGAAAGCAATTTCCTGTTCTTTCTGCTATGGCTCGGGATGTGCTGAATGTGCCAATTTCAACTGTTGCATCAGAGAGTGCATTTAGCCAAGCAAGACAACAACTTGGAGACACCCGTCACTCATTGGGAAGCAATGCTTTGGAAGTTTTAGTATGTTTCAGAGTTTGGATTAGATCAGAACGAAGAAATCAAGGACGTGAAGATGTTGATAGCCTAGAAGACGAGAAACTTAGAGATATATTAACACATGGTAACCCATCCGAATTTAACACTCCAGAAGAAGGCCACTCAGTTCCCTACCCAGCCCGGCCCACCCGTTAGACACCCTTAGGTTTGGATAATATATGTAACCATACATAAGATACATGTTACAAGCTGAAATCCAAGGGAATAGAGAATTGCAACTTACGAAGTATAAATGGCGACCAACAATTTTCCTCCTCAATAAACAACCTTACTTTCACTTGCCTCATTTCCTGAAAAGCATTTTATTGGAGAGATGCGATATCATCAACATACAATAAAGTTTGACACAGAAATGAGAGAGTTCCAAATATATGCTCCGATTTTCTCTTCCAATTAACAATAAATGGTACGCTTCTATGTTTGCAGCTACCTTATGTATGGCTTTGGGAAAATCTGCCTTACAATATTCAGATATCCACCTTTATGTCTTTAGATATATAAAAAATCAGTTGTAGAGTTGTTACATCGAAGTGACACTATAACAGGGGGAGAAGAAAAAAAAAGGATGGAAATATTGATACAAAATTGTATAACTTTGAAATATTAATTTAGAAGGTAAACTATGAGACTTTTGCACCAAATCAGCCCAGCCTAAACTAGAAGGTTAATGAGTTTTGCCTTTCAGCAGGGGCAACACACTGCCATAATGAACGATAAGGTGGAATACTAGCTGCATTGACCCCAAGTGATGATAAGCTCCGTGCATATTCCTGATCGAATGAAATGTTTAAATTAAGCAAAAAAGAGGAAGATGATTTTTCATAGTGCTGCACCTCAACCAAAATGTCCATACAAATGCCTGGTTAAATATATAGCCAGGACTAAGCAGAGGTGTAGTTACCTGAATGTCAAGAAATAATTGCATGCAGATCT